GCTGCAGAAAGACTGCAATATAGGCATTTGGTACGTAGTTGCTGGCAGTTGTTGTCGTGGTTGTACATGTTCGCACGCTATAACAAAGATTTTGCCCTCCCAACTCCATTTTTCGCTCGCTCACAATCTGGGAGCAGTCCGGCTTCAACACAGAAGTTTATGTGACATATTATTGGTTAATTAAAGCGATATCGGTCCTTTCAAGTGGTATTTCAGAATGTCATTATTTCTCAGCGAAATCAAAATATGGCTTAGCACACCTTCAACAGTTTCATTAGACTGGGTACAGAACAACTTAAACATTAAAAAGCACATCAGTATAAAACCTATTATGCTTCCGTTGTTCATTACTACGTGAACAGCCACTTCATTTATGACAGTGGTTAGCTCAGTGGCAGTTTATCAATTGTACGCATCTTAAGCAACAAATTTACCTAATTTAGACTGCAGATGCGAAGACTGCAAATTTACCAGATGCACTGAACAATCTCTCAAAGCGCGGCAAACACATCCTGCTGAAACCGTAGCTAATTTCTTGTTCCACAGTTGAGGGTACCAAACGAACTAAGCAAATAAATGGACTGTGAAAATATTTACTGCTACCATAACTGGAGGATCATCTAGATGATCTTGGCACTTCATCCCAGACCCGCAACACAACTATAAGGAACACGACAGCTAGTAAAATGCCTAGAGGAAACAACCAGCTACCTAATTAATAGTCACTACCGCTGACAATAAGATGTCGCAAATCTCGACCTGCAGAAGCACCCTGAAATTGCCCAGCAATCACACCGTCCAGTGCAATTCTTTATTCTGAGAAGAGCCAGCAATGTACCGATAGTATTCGACACAACATTTTCAAGTCGTCCTAAAATTCCAGGTATGATATTCAATTTCGTCCATTGCCTGATTTGTTGGTCTAGCACGGCCTGGTCTTCCCTGTTCGACGACAGTGACTTGGAGAGAAGGCAGGGGTATAAAGCAAGTACAGTAAGCGAAATGCATGCGCCTAGGCGAGGATCTATGAACCTGAAGTTTTAACTTCTCCCATCGTTAGTCATTCACTAACTTAAGAGAAGGCAATATCTTCAGTCTGTTAAACTAATCCAAACGTAAGGGCGTTCTCGTGTGAATGGTTATCAAGTCAACCAGTTAGCACGACATTTTGCGGTATCTTAAAAACGTTTTAACCTTACCATTGCAGCATTCCGGGTAAGGTTGAAAACATCTTTTCTGATCCAAAAAATTTAGTAAGCGACTGTATTAAAAAATACCTAAAATTTTAAATATTAGCCATACATTATTATCGTTAAAATTAAGAATGATATTTATAACTGAACATTGACAATGAAA